AGATAATATTTAACTAATTAAAACATATTGTTACTGATAATTTACATATAATTAAACTTGGAAAAGTGAAAACTTGGGCAAATTTATAAAAACATATAAAATAAATATAATAAAACTTGATTTGGTTCAAGTTTCAAGAAGAAAAAAACCTAAACCAACTTAAATTGATCTGTTATGTCGAAAGAAAAATTAAATTAAATCTCATTTATAATTGATTTTGATCAATTCTTTAGTTTGATGGAATTGGTTTAGATCAGTTTTCAATACTCTTACTCCTATTAGCAGCGCATCACATCACGGCAGGCTCAAGGACCACAAAAGATAACAAAGCTTTTCCACCAAGTATGATTAAGTTGATATAACTCCTTAGTCGGATTAAAACAAGATGAATTATTGCATTCTGATTTAATTTCCTTACCTGTTCTGAAATGTGAGGTATACAGTCAATTTTATTAATTTTAAGAAAGAAATTACACTAACTAACCTCCATGTAAAAGCCTATTCATGAAAATTATGTTAAAGAAAGTTAAAAAGAAAAAAGAAAAATCTGTAACAACCTAGATAAGCAACAAACAAAGCAAAGAAAAGAGTCTTCCAGCTCAGCAATGCAAATGCTCCTGGGCTACCAAAGGAGAATGATACTTTGAGTCCTTCGGCTCTTGGACAGTGCAGTTTGTAGACTCTACCATTCACGGGCTTTACCAGAGCCCAGCAACTATTTGACTGTATATCCTTAGATCTGGTTTCCAGATCTAAGGATATATATTTCAATCTTTTATTTTGATTGTCCATTAGATTTCATCTCTGAATATATCATTCAATTGCTTCAATATATTTCGCCTGGATTTTGTCGGCAGGTTATCTAAATACGTCAGTTACTCGATAGTCGATTCTACCGTGAACATATTACATGTGTATCGTCTATTATGTTTTTTTGGGTAACATCCTTCTGTCCACGTAATCAACAGCTTTCCAGTTTTCTGAAACCTCAAATGGTTGTTATAGATGTGACAGGATCTAGAAAGCAAAAAGATTATCGTCTTTGAAAAGAATCTGAACAAGACGCCTGGGGACTAAAGATCAACTTTAGTGTCCATTGGGATAATTTCCATAGTCAGTTTTAAGGTCAAAATTACAATTTTATAAAAATATATTTAAAAACTCATATTATATGTTAAAATTAATTATGAACTTAAAATCATGTTTTCTTAAAAATATTCAAACATTCATTATATATGTTAAAATTAATTTTCAACTCAAAATCATGTTTTCTTTTAAAATATCCAAACACCTCTTTATATGTTAAAATCAATTATAAACCCAAAAATGTAATTTACAAAATAATTTATATAATTTTTGGATAAATTTTTAAAAAAGCATCATTGAAAATATGAATTAAAAAGTAAGTAATAATAGTTTATGAGATAATCATGATTTTGAATTTATAATTAATTTTAACATGTACAGTGATGTTTGGATACTGCTAAGAAAACCTTGATTTTGAGGTCATAATTAATTTTGGCATGATGTACCCAAAAAATAATAATTTTGACATGTACAATAGATGTTTGGCTTTAAAAAAAAACATATTTTTTGATTCATAATTAATTTTAACATGTACTAGGGGTGTTCGAATATATTTTCACAAAACCATAATTTTACCTAATTTTTATTTTTTTAAATTTTGATTTAAATCAATCATATTAATTAATTTTATAAATCAATTGTATAACACATACTATATTCAATTATATTTAAAATCAATCATATTAATCAAATTTTTTATAATCAATTGTATTTAATTGAAATTCAAACACACCTTTAGTGCCTATTTGGATAATCTCTATAATCAATTTTAAAGGTCAAAATCATAGTTTTACAAAAATATATCCAAACATTTCCATCACAAGTCAAAATCAATTATGAAACTAAAATTATGTTTTCCTTCAAATATCCAAACATCCATTATATATGCCAAAAAATAAATTTTGAACCCAAAATCTGTTTTTCTTTAAAATATTCAAACACCTCTATATATGTCAAAGTCAATTATAAACCCAAAAACATGATTTTTAAAATAATTTATATGATTTTTTAATAAATTTTTAGAAAAGTATAATTGAAAGTATGAATTAAAAAGTTATAATAGTATCTTATGAGATAAATGTAGTTTTGAATTCAAAATTAATTTTGGCATGTATGGAGAGGTTTGGATATTTTTAAGAAAATCATAATCTTGAATTTATAATTAATTTTGGCATGTAAATGGGTATTTGAATATTTGTTTAAAAAATATGATTTTAAATTTATAATTAATTTTAACATGTAATAAGGATGTTTGAATATATTTCAGTTCTACTTTTTAATTTTGATTAAAATCAATCTTATTAATGAATTTTATAAATTAATTATATCTCATATAACATAATTAATTATATTAAAAATCAATCATATTAATTTTTTTTATAATTAACTATATCCAACTAAAATCCAAACATGTCTTTTAATATGTTGCTTTTTATTTTTGAAAAGTTAAAAGTCTTTTAAAAGTATTTTTAACAAATCGTTGTTTGAATGTGGTAAGATATTTTTAAAAGTTTATTTGAAAAAAATAAAAACCAACGATTAAAAAAAACCCTTTTGAGTTGCTCTCATGAAAAGGATTTTACAAACATACATTTACTAAAAGGACTCTCGTTAACCAGACATGCCTTTGGACTACCAGGGCCTAATTGACTTCTGCTTTTATTTTTTATTTTTAAAAACTGTTTTGTAGTATAGTTTTTAAAATGATTTTTTAAACAAAATAAAATAAAAATGTGTGGCCATGTTAATTAAAAAATAATTTTAGAATTAAACAAATGGACTGATGATTATGGATAGTTAATGATGATGATAAATAATAAAAATTAATAAAGATAATTATAATTTTTAATAATCAAATGTAGTGTATTTTAAAAATAAGAAAAATAAAACAAAAACAATTAAAGTTATTTCTATTTTTTGTTTTTAAAAATAAAAAATAAAAATAATTTAATAAAAACATTTATTCAAATAAATTTTTTAATTCTTAAAAACAAAATAATTTTTAAAAATAGAAAATAAACAGACCCTTAATTTCTCGGCCATTTTAAAGATAATCAGTTGAGACAACATGCGCATTGACTTGGGTAAATAGATGACATTGACTTGGCTCAGTCTCCTCTCAACTGTTAACAACAAACCAAACATGGCTTCTTGGAATTCCAGCCCACGTTAAACTTAAATTAATAGCAAATTGCAGATTTTCTTTAATGCTGATATCATGTCTGGCGGACGATAATGCACTGCCCCTCGTAACGTTCCGACTTCAAACCTCAAAGCCTATTTTCAGCTTGTTTGGGTCAATGTTTGCCGAATTACATTTTACATAAATTACAATTTACAAATTAAAATTTGGTTAAAAAGATAGTTATTATAATATGATTTATATTTGAATACTCCTATATAAAAAATTAATTTGAAAAACTGAAACTTATTTAGATAATATATTTAAAAGTATGTTTAAATATATAATAATAAAAAAAGACATGAGCCAATTAAAAAAAACTGAAAAAAGGACATGAATTGTATGTCTCTTTCACACATACATGTATATTTGATAAATTTAAGAAAATATTAAAATTATAATTATAATTATAAAAATAAAAGAGTTAACGTATTAGTGTAGAAAATATTTTTAAATACTAAAAAACTTAATTAAATATATTTAAAGAATATGTATATAATTACAAATAATAAAAAATTTAAACTTATAAATAATAAAAATATCAAATTTTAAAAGGAAATGTGAAAGGATAAATAAGATTACATAATAAATTTAAAATGTACTAAATGCTGCTGACTATTATATTTAAACATAACCAGTGTAAAAGCTTTAAAATTTAGCTTTTAGCCTAACTATAATTTTTTTTTTTTACCAGGTCTAACTATAACTAAAAAAGAAAAGCTCATTTGCAATTACTCTTACCCAAATATATTTTTTACCCCTAATTATCTTTTAAACCATAGACTATGGTTTAAGCCAACTAAATAGAATCCGAAACAAGCACTTCAGATGCACCCATACATGCACTTTTGCTTTCATCATTACGTTTTCTACTTTCAAATTTCCAAGTATTACATATATTAATTTGATTAAGAATTGCACGGAAATATATAAACTAATTAAAAGTCTATTATTTTAAAAAAGGCCATCGTTCTAAACCCTACCAAGTTTAATTTTACGAGTTTCAGGATTCGTCAGGTAGTAAATAAATGAATTTGTTATCACTGCAAATTTTTATATAAACAAGAAATCAGTGCAAAGTTTGATAAACAAGTAATACTAAGAAAAATTAGCATTTTCTTTGAACTCATCAGCCAAGCCAAACTTGACTGGCATAACTTCATAGAATTTCTTTTCAACAGTTCTATAAATGTTTCATTAACTAGCGGCCAGTCATTCAAGTATGGAAAACTAGACGCCCATGTAGCCATTTGTGTTTTTCTTCCACTTCGCTGTTAAATTTAAAACTAATCAAAACTATTTTTTGAATAATCAAAATCTAATAAAAAACTTCCTGTAATCAATGGGATGAAATGTGACTACTTATGGTAGCCATAATCAATGGGTAATGTACATCAGTCGTTATCCGCAACTTGAACAAAAACGACGGATGCTAATTCAACATTCCTTGGTCCCTTAAATTAAGGTCGCGAATTTGACCGGTCATAACTTCTACAATGTGTAGAGATGGGGCAATCAAGATTATGGCCGCAATTCCTGGAGCTTTAGTGCTACGCGGCAAACTCAAGACTCCATCAAAGCTCATCAAACACTTGATCTTCATGACTAGCTAGGTACTGCCAGGTGCATGCGCAGTGAAAATTCTCCGGTGCCGTGCGGTGGATGCACAATAATGGTTTTTAGTCTAATTTTGGCATTGACATGTGTACATTCACCACATGTTACCCAAAAATTTCTTCTGGAATGAGAATGATATCATGACTGAGACTGACTAATCAATACAGACTTTATTCTCTATTTTAAAAAAGAACAAAATTGAGATATCTGTAACCAGAAACGGGGCTTCGAAACTATACATGTGCTGTCTGCAATAGCAAAACCTGTAGAAAACCTTCAGTTACTATCTATGGAGTAGCTTGATTTGAACCCTTCTTTTCGTGAATCCCATCCACCAACAATATTCACCTTCGTATTTAATTTATATTGAACTTTGCTCCTTAAGCAACGGAAGCGAGCATGCTCTGTTCTGATTCATCAGCATTGAGGGAGAAAATATCCACGGGGGCACTAGTGCAGCCAACAGCATTCGGTTTAGTTCTATCATAAGGGGTACCTTTCTGGTGATCAAGATATATAACGATAACAGTGATATCGTCATGAAAATGTCTTCTTATTCCCTTCTCGAGTTTCTTTATATCATCATATCTCATCTCTCTCTTCTTTGCAGCTTCCTGCAGAGCAGCTCTCACCAATCTCTTGGCGATTCCCTGTAAGTACCAGGACCACAAATTCATAATTAAAATCCAAGAATCCATGGTTATTTGCATCTTACAAGTAAGAGTGGGTGCTCACAGCTCTTGGATGCTTAAAGACAATCTCAACTGCTGCTTGATCACTTAATTGTTCCCAAAGCCCATCTGATGCAAATATCAAGAATAAATCTTCCGGCTCGAGCTCCCTAATAAGGATTGATGGTTCAGCTGTCATTACTGGACGCTTCAAAGGAACTGGGTTTCCAAATTGCTGAAAAACTGGGTCTCTATAAAAGTCAGGTCTCTTAAGATACACATCACCAATTGATCTTGACACCTGCACAACCAAAAATAAGCTTCCATAATCAGCTTATTCCTTCAGAAGTCCTGAATACATGCAAGGAAATATTCAGTTTCACATTGATAACCAAGTCAACAACCAGAAGAATAAGGAGTGACCACAACCCTCCTCTTCCATGGGAGACAAACATAAACGGAAGGGACATAAAAGCAGGTGATCTTGACTTAAGGTCAACTTCTACAACACATTGTATTAGAAAGCTAGAACTACACCAAAGACACAATAACTTCATAATCATAAAAGTAGGTTTAAAAGGCAAAATTGGAAGGAAAAGATATCAAATATATGCGCTAGTTTGGCTCAAGCGTTGTAATTAAGAGCATTAACACAGTGAGATGCAAGTGACATATATCACCTTCCATTTAAAAATATGGGGAAAACCGAAAAGTTTAGCCTACAAACATTTACAAGCAACCCTTTCCACGGAATGCAATTTTAAGGCCCTAAGAATTTGAACATGCAAGTAAATAAGGAGGGGAGACAAAGGAAAAATAGATACAAATGGCAGTAGGAACATATTATTGTTGAAATTTCATTTAAGACTATTTCTAAAATCAGACAAACATGTCCACAGCAATACTAGACTATAACTTAAATATTTTGAGCATATAATTTAAGTTAATGAGTCTCTCTAATCTATCCATAATTCTACATTGAATAGCAATTTAAAACTGTTAGGGCCTATGCTCAGATAAGAGGCTACAATTATTCAAGAGTTGGAAGAAATTATCAAATGATACCTGTATAATGCCTTTAATCCTCCAAACTCCACGGCTATAAACCACAATGTGTGAATCATCAGGATGGAGGGCTTCCACCTCCCTCCTCACCTCCTCAACAGCCACATTATGATCCGTTGATAGCCGCTCTGCCACCACTGGGCATTTTTTGCCCTCTGAATCTCGGCGGCCAAGAACAGCTCTAGAGTCTCCAAGGTTTGCAACATACAGTATATTATCAGAAATTGCACCGAGAAGACAGCATGATCCTACAGAAGCAATTTGGGGACTTATAGGCAACGTTCGCTTCACCAAATGCAAAAACTCGTCTTCAGTGGCCTTAAACGCCTTTTTGATCACATCCACGGACAATCCTCCTTGTTCAGAAGCAAACTCTACAATCAAATTAACAAAACATAAAAAGTTGAGCTAGTAACCACATGGAATCAGGAGAAGTAACTAAAATGCACCCGACAGCATACCCTCTACAGTCCTAAAACCCTTGTTATCATAAAATTCATCATTCCAGCTAATTCTAATTTGTCTTCAATAAATGATCCATGAAACAGAACCTCACAGTAAGATTCACGAACGCCAAGACCGAGAGAGCGCAGTGAGCCTTAAAAAGCAACCAATTCAACGCCAAGAACAGGAAGAACCAAAAGCACCGATTTCAATCCCAAGAATTATAAATAGGAAAAGAGAATTACTCTGCAAATGAGGGAAGAGGCGTTTGTTGACGAATCTGGAAGCCTCGGGTCCGCCATGGCCATCATAGACGCCGATATAGGTGGCGGAGGGAGACGTGAAGACTTGGCCCTGATCTTCGAGACTGTTATTGGCCTGAGCAACGGCGATGGAGAAGTGGCCAGAGGCATGAGGCTTCAAGTCGGAATGCCACAAAAGGCCATCGCCGCCGGATCCTCGCCATCCAAAGCAACGCTCCAGCGGCCTGTAACACAAACGAAGCATCGTCTATACACGTAAAGGATCAAATCGTATAGATTCGGGGGGTCTGAGGGGAAATCGAGATCACGATTGTGATTGTGATTAGGTATAGAGAAAGGGAAAAATGAGATGAGAGATGAATATTGGATATGGAAGAGAGGAAGGGAGAAAGCGAGTGGGGTAATTGGTAAACGCTAAGGAAAGTGGCGAGGCAATGCCGCGTTAGAAAGAAGAAGATACAATACAACTACGAATGTTGCTTTTATACTTCACGCGTACTCTTCTTCTCTTTCTCTCTGCGTGTCCCTGACTCTACAACGAGTTGTCGATTGTTATTATCCCTGGCCATTTCCTCTCAAGGAAACAAGCCATTTATTTCACCTGTTCACTGCATTCCGGCCAAAAAATAAAAAATCCCATGTTCACTGTATCCACTCTTTTTTTTTTTTTTTGCCAAGCTAGTCATGCTTTTCTAGGCAAAAAACAACAAGACAAAACAAATGTTAAAACCATTCGATATAGGTCCACGTCATTATATCCTTGTGGTTAATTCTAATCTAGACTTACATTGGTTTGGTTATTTATATATTTTCTCAATCCTTATGTTTTTCATTGTTTAATTTATCATTGTGATTTTAAATTTTTATGAGAAAATTGCACATAGGTCTCATATAAGATATTTATTTATAAATAAGTATCACAAAATGTAAAAATTACAATCAAATCTCTTTAGTACTTGAGTGTAATTTGTAGTTAAAGTGTAAAGATAATACCACCCTTATTAAAATATATCATATTATATATTAACAAAATGATAAATTTGTATTTATAAAACACAAAATATAATTTATAAATTAAGAATTTTTACTTGTGAATTATGAGGTTTCACTTTATAAATGAAGGATAAATAGAGCTTCAATCTATTATTTATAAACACAAGAAATATAACTTGTGAATTAAAAATTTTTACTTACAAATTACGAAAATTATAGTTGTAAATAGAGAGTAAATATAGTATGACTTTAGTTTATTATTTATTAAATATAAAATATAACTTGTTAATTAAGAATTTTAAGTTATAAATTGTGAAAAAGTTACAATTATAAATGAAGAGTAAATATAACTTCATTCCATCATTTATAATACACAAAATATGATTTGTGAATTAAAAATTTTTACTTATAAATTGTGAAGCAATAGTTATAAGTGCACAGTAAGCATGGCTTTAGTCTATTGGAGTATTGGTGTCATGTTTGTTTCAGGAAGTAGGGGCATAAATGCCTTTTCACCTAACATTTCAATTGTACTCCGGTCTAAGGGAATTGGCTATGTGTTTCCAAATTTACGGGATATATTTATAAATTATGAAATTATAATTGTAAGTGAAGGGTAAATATAATTTTATTTTATTATTTATAAAACACAAAATATGAGTTGTGGATGAAAAATTTTTACTTATAAATTGTGAAGTTTTAGTTATAAATATAGGATAAGTATGATTTTATTCTACTGACTGTTTCCTTCTTTTTTTTTTAAGTAAGTAGGGGCATAAATGCTTTTTTATTTAAAATTTCAATTACACTTAGATGCCAAGAGAATTGGCTATATTTTTTAAAATTTATAGAATCTATTTGTAAATTGTAAAATTATAACTATAAGTAATGAATAAATGTAACTTCATTTTATTATTTATAAAACACGGAATTTGATTTGTGAATTAAAATTTTTACTTATAAATTAAAAATGGCAATTATAAGTGTAGGGTAAGTATGACTTTAGTCTACTGGCGTTTTTTTTTTTAGTAAGTAAGGGCATAAATGCCTTTTAATTCAAAAGTTTAATTACACTGAGGTGCTAAGAAAATTGACCATATTTTTCCAAATTTATAGAGCCTATTTGTAAATTGTGAAATTACTACCATGAGTGAAGAATAAATATAATTTCATTTTATCATTTATAATACATGAAATATAATTTGTGAATTAAAAATTTTTACTTATAAATTATGAAATTGCAATTATATATAAGTGTTGGATAAATATGGCTCTAGCCTGCTGATGTTTTTTTTTTTTTTTTTGGGGGGGTTGGTTTTAACAAGTAGGGGTATAAAGGTTTTTTTCACCCAAAATTTTAATTACACTCGTGTCACAAAAGAATGGGCTGAATTTTTCAAATTCATAGGACCTATTATTGACAAGTTACTCATATGGGACCCACGCATAAATTTTCCCTTTTTTATTATTATATCCATTTTATATTATTAAGCTTGCTGACACTAATTTATTCAAAATTTTCAACCATGTCACTATCATGTGTTGTTTTAATTGTCTAAATTAAAAAAACAATTTAGACAAATAATTAGCAAAAATAACATATATGCAATGTGTGGCCAAAACAATATGCAGACACGTGATACAACACATCATATATTAATTAGGAATTTCTTGTCATCGGTTATCTTGATGAATTAGTTTATAAATTACTCCTATTGCATATATGAGTAATATACTTTTTTTTTACCTGAATACGAGTAATATACTTGAGTATCTAGATAACAAGTGAGTGACCTCGTCAATTAAATTAAACAATGGTATTAATAACAATTTAAAAACAGGGGTCAAATAAATATTCTTTTTCGAATGAGAAATAAAGACTACTATTAAAGAATAAAAAAGAAAATAAATCAAAGTGAAAAAAGTTAAAAGATAAGGACAAATTTATTCAACGGTTAATTATTTGATTATGAGTTATGAAAAAACCTCACATTTTTGTAAAGACAATTATCGATTAAAGAGGCTACAGAGAAGTAATATTCTCAATATCTCAGTGCAGACTGTAGAGTAATTGAGACACTAACATGCATGGGAGGAATTAATGTAGGATTTCTTAGTTTGACTTTATATTTTGAACTTGGCACAGAGTAATCAAGGAATATTCTGATTACATTACATTAAAAATTTTCTTTAATGTAATGTAATCTAAATTAAAAATTCTAAAAAAATATTAGTTGGAATCTAAATTTTCTTTAAAATTTTTTTACATATTTATTCATTTATATTTTCATTAAATATTTTATAAAAATATCTTGATAATGACAACTAAAATTTTAAAACATTATTTTAAAAAATAATGAATGAAGAAAAGGTATATTTTAAAAAAATATTTATAAAATTTTATCAATACTCTGTATCCTAAATAAAGTAAAAAATTTAAAAAATATTCTACATATTATCATAGGGAGTGAGCACATAATGACAGGAAATACAAGTAACTCTTTGGTTGGCAGTTTCCACAAGTAAACAATAATCTATGCCCTCAGTCCTCGCCGCCGCCCCACCTCCCCAAACACGACAACAGGTACTGGGATGTTGTCTTATCATAAATAAAATTTTAAAATATTTATGATACTTGCAAAACCAAAACTTACTTTTACGAGACAAACTTAATTCTTTCACATGTTAAAAATCAATTACAAAAATAATTTAATTTAATGTTTTAATTTCACTCATAATTATTATGCATAGCTAACTTTTATAAGTTATGTAAATTGATTAAAATTTACTTACATTTTGAAAAGATTTATCCATTGCTCTTGATATTTTAGGACAAATATTTTCTGTTGTAAGCAAGACCTATTCCTTACCTCTTCAGTCCAGATTATAAGCATTTTTTTAATTAATATTGGTTTAAAATAGAAACAACTTAATACATGTAAATTTTTTTATTTTATTACCACTTGTATTTATTAATCCAAATCCTTATGTAAATTTATATTTTACTCATCATGATGTACTATAAGCTACAAAGGAAAAACTATCAGATATTTTTATTGATATGCGAATTTTTTTAAGAAATTATTTATACTTTAGACGAGAGGACTTATTAAGAAAATTTGCCTGCATTCTAGATATGGAGGAGTATGTGTTGACTGTTGACTAATACGGCATAAGTAGATTGAGTGGCAGATATTCACAGGACAATGTGAATGTTCGCTGTATACTCCCACTCCCACCTCTCCTAATCAATGAAATATTTGTGACTCATCTTACAAAATATTGACTTTTCAATCCCTCTCTCCCCCGGAGAATGATACCAATGCGATTATTTTGAAAAGTTGTAAAAAAAAAATTATATTTAAGTAGTTGTAACAAATTTTATTAATCTCGTGAAAAGAGTTAATAGGATTTTATAATAAAGACTGAAAAAAAGAAGATGCTATGATGGAGAGCTTGATGCACCGTACACGGTTGTTACGAGCTCCATCAAGTACAAGACGCATTAGCCTTCCGCAACGTGCCAAATCCTCTCTAACAATTTTTTTTTAATCCCAAACTCTCGCCCCCCACCCAAAAACAAAAACAAAAACAAAACAAAAAGGCGTAATTGGCTCACAACTTTATCGATCGACCTTGTAAAAAGATTCCCTGCCGAACGAGTCCCCATCTCAGAGGTGCTTCAATTTGACCATACCTATAAGGGGTGTATTTTTCCACACCATAACTCGTCTTTAACTGTACAGCTCAGAGATTGTTTTCGCTTCAATATTTTAGATTTTTGATTCAGATTGCTTATAGTCTTTTTAGGGACATATTCTCTATTAAAAACTTAATTACTGTTTCATCCTTAAGACTCGAACTAAAGACTTTTGATTAAGAGAGACCAGCTTCTCTAACAAATTAATCTAAACGTCCAATATCAGAGAAAGCGATTTTATATAAAAAGCAACTCGAAGTGGGAGACAGGATGAGGTTAATGGATTTTATCTAAGATGGATTTCAATTTATGAGGGTTAATGGGTACATACTCACGCTTAGAGGAGTTCCGTTTGGAAACAAGATGCATGTGTAATTTTCAAACAACCTTCTTTTTTCCCCATTTTATATGATGAGGTTTATGAATTTACTTCTAAAGGCCAAAATATTTCCATTTTACTTTGCTGTAGTCACTTCCTTCATATACTTGTAAATAGAATTGCATTTACTCAACTTGTATGTCATGGTTCTTGAACTAAAGTTTTGTTCATATATTTTATGTAGTCTGCTTGTTATCAAAATTATTTGTTGCTTATAGGGGTAATTTATTTTTCATGTCAAATTTCTAGCTTTTTACATACCATTATTGCTGATGAGATTTTTTTGCACTTTTACCTCGAGACTTGATTGCGTGTGTTTTATATTCTATATTTTTCCTGATATTATTAGTCCCCGAGAAAGTTCTGCCATATAGTGTCATACTTAACACACAATTTTTTTACCCATTGCAGGCCAAATCATGAGCCGATGAGCGCAAGAAGTCAAGAAGCTACTATAGGTGTCGTT